CCGAATCACGCCGTCAGGTCCAGGGTAGGTATGGGCTACGATGCCGCGTGGCCACGTGTTTCGAGGCAGAGCGTGGTCGGCTATGATAACCACGTCTCCGGTTCGTACTTCGCTGCTTCGTGGACGTTGTGGGTCGCGGCGTGGTACGAGGGTCGGTAGGTACTCTCGTAGCCAGCGTTTCCAGAAGGCGTCGGCTAGTGCTTGCGTCGCCCTCCAAGTCCTGCGGTCGCCCTCTTCACATGGCCCGGTGTATGGAAGGCCGGTCGATGACCCCAACAAGAAGTGGTTTGGGGTTAGCGCCTCCGGATCGCTTGGGTCTACGGAGACATGCGTCAGTGGTCGCGAATTGACAGCATGTTCCGCCTCGGCCAGTAGAGTGTGCAGGACCTCCTCTTTCGGTGCTCGTTCGTTTAATGTGGCGTTGAGCGCGGTTTTCACGGAGCGAACCATGCGTTCCCAGGCTCCGCCTTGGTTAGGTGCTCCCGGCGCGATGAATTTCCATGTGGCATCGTAGTTCATCGCCTCTCTCTTCAGCTCGGGAAGCCACTCGGTGTACGCCTTCTTGAGCTCGGTGTCAGCCCCTCGGAAGTTAGTGCCGTTGTCACTATATATTACGGCGGGCCATCCTCGTCGTGCTGCCATTCTTCGCAGCGCCATGATTGCGGAGTCAGTGGTGAGTGATGCCACCAGCTCCAGGTGCACGGCGCGTATCGTCAGACAGGTGAATAACGCCACCCATCTTTTCTCTCTTCGTCTTCCAATTTTGATGGTGACTGGCCCGAAGTAATCAATCCCACAATGACTAAAGGGACGTCTGAAGGGCTGTAAACGTTCTGCGGGCAGATCCCCCGTCGGCGGGCTCCTTGGCTTCGATCTTCGTAGTCGACACATAAGGCAGCCTGCTGCGACTTTCTTAACTGTTGGTCGCAGCCGCAGGATCCAGTACTGCTGCCTGACGTCGTTGACCACTCGCTCGTTGTTGCAGTGTCCCGCTCGTCTGTGCTCTCGATCAATAATTTTCTTCGCGAGTTCGTGGCGTCCGTCCAATAATACCGGCTTCTTCGCTGTTTCCGGTACGTCCGCCTTGTTAATGCGTCCGTTTAGTTTCACAAGCCCGTCCTCCCAAGTGAGGTCGTAACGGTGCAGAGGGCTCGTTCGTGCTACGGGGACTCCTTTCTTCAGGCACTCGATTTCTTGGCTGAAGGAGTCTTGTTGCGCCTCTTCTCGCTCGTCGAGATCTCTTAGGTGTCGTAGCTTCATCGCCTCCGCTGGTATCGATTGCGGCGTGAGGTCCAGGCCCACCATGGTGCGAGCGTTGATTTTGAAGATCTGGTCACTGCGCGCTCCTTTTATTCCAATCTTCACTCGACGGCTCTGCACGTGACTTTGCTTCTTGTTTATTCCTCGGACGTTGAGCTGTGCGGTCGGTCCGTCGGCGCCGATCTGTCGCGCCAGGTCGTCGTCTAATAAGGTGACCGTCGAGCCTTCGTCGAAGAGCGCGTAGGTGTCGCAGCTCCCACGTTTGCCCGTGATTGTCACGGGGCAAATCTTCAATTTGACGGCGCGGCTTGTCGTCGTGGCAGCCGTCGTCGTTTCGGTGGTGGCTGGTTCCGTTGCGGCCGCGTTTGAGTCGGTCGCGCTCGTAGCCACGTCGTTCGTCGTTCCACGCTCATCTGCGTGCAACAGTCGGTGATGCGGTCGCTTGCATCCGTTGATTCCGCAGAGCTTCTGTCGGCAGTTCAATCGACGGTGCCGGCCCACGATGCATTTGAAGCAAAGCCCCTCCTTCTTCACCAGCTCCCATCGGTCATCATACGTTAGCTGCTTGAATTTTGGGCAGCTAGGTAGTGTGTGGGCTTCCTGGCATGAAAGGCATCTGCGCTGCGGTGCTTCTTCGGTGGCGACGTACACCGTCTTCTTCTTAGCCTCCGGTCTGGGGGCGGGGCGAGGCGTTTCTCGTGTTCGTTGCGATGTGGAGGGTGCGGTGAGGTTCGATACATAGTTGTATCGCATGCAGCGGTCAGCTTCCTTCATCAGGAACGATGAAAGTTTGAGTAGATCGGCGTTCGGGCCCGGCTGTGACTCGGCGAAGTTGCACCAACTCGATACAAGGTAACTTGGCATCTTGTCTAAGACTTCCCGGGTCAGCAGTGGGTTAAGCAGGTACTCTGGCTGCACGTTCCTCAGGACGGCCACGACGTTCTGTAGCTTCACCGCAAACATATTAAGATCGTTCGCGGTAGGTCCAATCTTCGGCAGCTTCCGTAGATCGGCGAAAGCCATGTCCACTAGTCTTTCTGGCCTTCCGTAGCATTGCTCCAATGTTCGCATGATCTCGTCGGGGTGCGTCGCGGTGCTCAACAATGATGCGACGTTTTCCCGAGCTTCTCCACGTAGGCAGTTTCTTAGTCTTGCCATATTCTCTGTAGGTGTGAATTCGTACAGCCGCGTTGTTTCTCGCATCGCAGTCGCGAACTGTAGCCATTCCAGCGGTGAACCAGAGAATATCGGTAGATCCGATGCTTGACGCGGCGGCGGTCGTGACTTCACGAGAGTTTCGAGGACAGAGGCGAGTTGATCGATGCCTCTGCCTCGCGATGACGACCGTCTTCGTTCTTCCCTATCTGGGCGTCGCGTGTCGCGTTCAGGTGGCGGTTCAGCCACGGCGGTCCTTGAGAGCTCCCCCCGTTGTTGGTCGACGTTCGCGTCGTCGAGCCACTCGAACACTCGATCTTGTAATTTATTTGCCGGTTCTTCAGCTTCGGGTTCGCTCTCTGCTCCGTCTAGCGTTTCTAACTCGATATTGAGCGTCTTTTTTATGAGGTCCGCTTCAATTTCGAGTTCTCGGCGTCTTATGGCAGCCAGTCGTTCTTCTGCTTCGATGCGTAGCTTCCGGCGTGCCGCGTTGCTCGCTGCCGAGCGGGTCGAACGCGCGACGTGCACTCTCTTCGCCGGTTGCACCGATGACGTCATCGCAGATGTCGTTATTCCAGTAGTCGCCGCTGTGTCCGTTGGGTGTGCTGCGCGTTCGTCCGCTCCGCTCGGCGGCTGCGTAGTCACTGCCAAGGCGACGCGTGCTCCGGCAACGTCTGCCCCAGCGCGGTTCGCGTTAGGCGCTAGTTGCGAGACTTGCGGTGCGGTGCGTAGGCTCTCCCCGGCGTTACCCGTCTCGAGGCGTCCTCGTACGGTCGGTGTACTTGAGGGCGATCTCGGCGGCTGGTCGAAGACACGACGTTGGTTTTCTTCGTCTTGGCTTCTTGTAAGCACCATCTTGAATTGCTGTTGCTGGATCTCGAAGGTTCTATGCGTGTTTAGATCCGGCTTCTCGAAGGACCAAAACTATTGAGGGTGGTGATCCGGCTCGAAGGACCAAAACTATTGAGGGTGCTGATCCGGCTCTATGGACCAAACTGTAGACGATGTATAACCGTGGATGATGGTGAAAAACAAAGACGAATTTCTTCTATAGACGTTTTATTTTTCTTCTTACTGGCTACTTATTACTGCTTGACTATACTGCTTGACTGACTTGACTTGACTACTTGCTGAACTGACTACAATATTTACAAATTTGGCCCTACCCTTATTCTAAACTTAACATCTAACTTAGATACTAGTGACGCGCGGCGGCCGACCAATCACAGCGCGTTTTACGCCCGCGCGCCGGGTGGGGGAATCGCCCCCACCGTGCGGACGGCGCCTACGCAGCCAATGGGCTCCCCGATAATTCCGCTAATGTAGGCGCTGTGATTGGTCGTTCGATCTGTACATTTTTCGGCACGTGGCTGTAATAAAGCTAATGGAAGTAAGGGAAGTCAATGTACAAAATATTATTTACTAGCTTTCGCCAGCGGCTTCGGCCGCGTGGACCCTAGGGAAATGTTAAGTGGGATAAAAAGTATCCTATTATCTAAGTCAGCTAATACCCTATCTGTATACCAAATTTCATCAAAATCCGTTCAGTAGTTTCAGCGTGATTGACCAACACATCCAAACAAAGAAAATTTCACATTTATAATATTAATAATAGGACTTTCTATATTGTCCCCATCGAAAATCGCAACTCAAAAACGGTAGAAACGGCAGCACTTTAAAACCAGCAAGCATAAACCAAGCTATTGTATTACCATAAATCAAACGATGATTTCATAAAATTATATTAGAAAGGTAAAGTTTGTATGTTTTAGTCTCAATTTAAAAAAAATCATTCTTAAAAATGACTCAAACTCCTGACGAAAAAGTGTCTACAACATTGCTGATTGTATTATAATAGGTGCATGCTTTTGATGTAAAAACTTCTTGCTTTGATCACTTTAAAATTAAATTATCGATAGTAAGTGATTTTTCACTTTTCTTGCTCAAACAGACAAATATTTAGCATACCTATCAAAGCGATACTAAAATAGTATTCCCGCTCTTAGGGTTTTTTCTTAAGTTTTATACCTACAAAATCTGTTCTGCGACCATCGAGCTGGTATAATACTATTCTTTGAGGATATGGCCTAATGAGGCTGCACCTCAGAATAATGGCTACACATTACATAGGTACGTAATATTAATGAGGAAGTATTTAAAAAAAAAACTAAAGCACCTCCACTAGATGGCGACTCTAGCAAAAGTTGGTTTTTGCAAGAAACGAATGGACCAAAGACAGTCATTTCCGTTCCTTTTAAGTAACATATCAAAAAATTAAAAAGTTCGAAACTTAGATATCAATACAAATACGAAAAAGTACAAATAGAATATGAGTTCTTTGTTGAGTTTTGAAAACTAATTTACTTTTAAAGATGAAAGAAAACCGAAAAGGTTGTCATGGAGACATCAAGAACGTACTGTACTGACATCTATTTTGATTTCGGGAACTAATGTTTTTTTTAAAATACTTCCTATTTGATGGTAATAAAAGAATTTGTCTATGGTCATAGAATGAGTAAATGTTGCTGCAAAACTGCCTACCATTAGGCCATGGCGAACAACGTATGAAAAAATAAAGAAATTGTCTATTCGCCAGCAAAATGGCGTCATCGAAGGAAACCTATTGTTTGTGTGGTCAACCATATAATATCGGACAATTTATGATAGAATGTGATTGCTGTCGTGAATGGTTTCATGGCAGGTAATATGGAATAAGTATTAATATTCAAGTGAAAACCTTGCTGCGTGTTAAAAAAAATGCTTTGTACATCTGACAGCACCCCGCTCTTACTACGGCCATAATTTTCATACGGATGTTTTGTTGAAATTTTGGGTTTTATTTCGATTATTATGGTACGACAGAACACAGAATCACCCGGTCTAAGTGTTTTGCTCTATTTAGTTAATAATAAACTACCTAAGTTAACTATCAATATTGTTTACATATTTGGTCTCCATTGGACACCTGATTTCTAGATTTAATGTTCTTTGTGTTATACAAACATAGTATTTATATATTACAGCCTTCATTTCTTTTACATTGTAAACTACAAAAAAATTATTTGTTAGGTCTTGTTACCGTTCAGCTGCTGTAGTTGTTAATTGTTGATGCAACAAAACAGATTATAGCATTTAGTGTAGAAGTAACTTTGCTTAGAATATTAAAACTATATCACATTTGTTTTTCAGTTGCGTTGATGTAAAGATATACCATTCAGATGATATAGATAAATATCACTGTCCAAAATGTGCTCAAACATATGGCCCATCAGTGCGTAAGTATCTATGTTATTTGATGATTTCCAATAAGACATTATAATTTAAAACTTCTGTATTAAATTTAGGATTGGTTCTTAGATTATTATTAATAATAATTTAAGTGTGCTTATTTAAATTTGATTTAACGAAATAATGTTGATTTGAATTGGGCTTCAGTATGGTGTGTGTCTTTAGAATAGGTATCTTTTTACTAAATTTGCCCAATGTTACTATTGCCCTGCGTTTGATCTCCTGTTAACTGTAGATTGTCTGTTATTTTGTCACTAGTTTCTTAAAGTTATAAATAAAGGTCTACCACTCTTTTACTTCATATTTTTCCTATATTCTGGTATTTTACTTTTTAAAAACTGGATTTAGCAATTAGTGATGGCAATATTAATGTAACAAAATTATCTATTTTAGTAAAAATTCCTACAAATAATCACCGTGCTGATCGGTATGAGCTAGGAGCTGAAACTAGACCGTCACAAGTAGGTACACCAGCATGGGTTCGGGCATTAGCTGCAAGGCCTCTCAGGCCAGCTCCAACAGCTTTACAAAGAATGAGAGGTCAATACTTCACAGAAGAGTTTGTCAGAGACGATGGTTTCAACCGACCTATCATATTTCATACAACAGAAGGTCTAGATATGAAGATGCCAAATCCAGGAACGTTTACTGTGAGATCTGTTTTGAGATACTGTGGAGCACAGTTGGAGGTATATTTATAATTTTGTTTAAAAATATCGTTAATTATGATATACAAAAATATTTTAAAAGACGATATTCAAACCTGTAACCTTTCATTAAACAGACAATTGCTATATGACTGAGCTGATTTAGATAAAGCTAAAAATTCATAGTAGCATATAGGTATTGCCTGCCTAAAGTGTCCTTGTAAGAATATATGTTATAAATTTTCAAACTGGCATTTAACTAGCTATGTAGTCTTTTTAAATATCTTCATATAAAATGAATCTCAGAACATTATATTTGTGAAATTTAAGTACAATTATGGAAGTATTCCTATATTTTAAAAAGATTGAGATGAGCCTTTTTTTTATGGTCATTTTTTAATTAAATACAGAAAGTATGTAGTAATTGTGAGATACCTATTTTTTAAAGTTTTAAAATGATTTTAAAAGACTATTCATGCTAAAAGACAAGTCATAAGTAAAGGCTGAATCAAGGTATTGTTAACCTGCACAAATTTAAAAATATGTATTGATTGTGAGTGAAATTAACGTGTTTACCTACATACTGATAGTTTCCATTTTTTTAAATGTGTATTCAATTGACCGTTTGAATAATAAAATTAGCCTATAACCACTTGTTGTTACTCACTTTTAAGAAACTTTACAAAAACCTGTATTTTATTCATTTTCACATCTAGGTGGAGGTAATAGATGTCCGCAAACAGTCCACATTAAGGATGCCGCTGGGTGATTTTGTGGATTACTTTGAGACACCACCAGAGCATAGGGATGAGAAAGTGCTCAATGTGCTTAGCCTCGAGTTCTCAGACACAAAGTAAGACTAACAGCCAATTTCCGAATTGAGAAGAGAACAAAATCTCAACTGATTATTCTCAATAACTTAAGTTTTTTTATGTCTAACAAGGCAAAAAAAAATCCTAGTTTTATCAAACTGATATAAATAGATGATTAAAAATAATTTAAATCAAAAAGAAAACCTGTTTAAATGATTTAAATATAATTTTGAAATTTCAATCTGAATAAATAATTTATTCATTCATTCATTCAGCCATGCTTAATTTAAATTCTCAATTCAGAAACTGGGTATACATTTTTTTTTGTTGAATTTAACAGAAAACATACTTCAATAATGATATTGGAATGGATTTGTATGAATAGCATACTTGTGATACACACATTTAGCAGTACAGCATATCCATCAGGCAGAGATGGTCATGCTATAACAGAATATCTCCACTGTTCAAGTATCCTGAGCCCCGAAAATGGACATTAATAAGCCTATTAATCACCAGCCGGTGATTATGATTATATGTGTAACGTGTGTGCGTGTGTGTTAGTATGTGCAGCGTGGTGGAGCCGCCGGGCGTTATCCGTCGCCTGGATTGGGCGGAGCGCGCGTGGCCGGCAGCGAGCGGACGGCCACGTCCCGCCGTGCAGAAATACTGCCTCATGTCGCCCGCCGCCGCTTACACTGACTTCCACGTCGATTTCGGCGGCACCACTGTCTGGTACCACGTGCTGCACGGACGGAAGGTACATTTAAATAAGTTTATAAGAGCAGGACTGCTTTGGAAATTATGCGCCAGCATTTCTTGACTTGCAACAGGCCTTCGATAGGATCTGGCACATAGGTCTTCTATGCAAAATAAACACACACCTATCTGCAGTCATTCTATAACATTCTGGCATCCTATCAGAGATGTTTTCATGTAAAAGAGGAAGATATCACTTTCGTTAAATATTGGCCGGTGTGCCTCAAGGTTTTGTTCTAGGCCCGTTGTTGTTGCTTTCACTATAGATCTTCCTTAAAACACTGGTGTTACAATTGTAACCTATGTGGATGACACTGCTGCCCTAGTGTGCGATAAACCTTTAATTGGGCATCATCAACGCTACAGATAAGCCTTAATTACATTAGTGAATGGCTGAAAAAATGGAGAAGAGCCAGCTTATCAAAATTGGTTCACTTCACCTATACCTTGAAACAACAGAAATGTCATTCAGTTATATTAGAGCTGTGAAGTACCTGAGTATGTATTAGGACCGCCGTTTAACGTAATACAAGCTTTAGAATCCAAACTTTAGAAGTAAACTTCAATTACAAGTGGAAGTTATTTTTAATATAATATATAATTTTCAGATATTTTACCTAGTGCCGCCGACTGCGACAAATTTGGCATTATATCAGCAATGGAGTGCGTCTAACAATCAGAATGAGCGCTTCTTTGGGGATATGGTGAGGCTGTGTTTATTTTATTTGTTTTTGTTTATTATGAAACCATTGCCATAGACAACTTTATCAATTGATTTTTCATTGGATTTTGTAGGTGGAATGGTATGGTACTGCAGAGCTTTGTGCAGGTCAGACGTTGTTTATACCAAGTGGTTGGATCCATGCAGTTCTTACGCCCTGCGATTCTCTGGTGTTCGGTGGGAATCTCCTTCATTCGTACGCCATTGAAATGCAGTTACAGTGAGTAACTGTAAATGTTTTAATAGAACATGTACATATGTTCTAATTTAGATTAAATGTATACTTGAAAATAGTATCGCAAAGTATCGGACGGATTAAATCCATAGTTTTTTATTCTGATAGTAAAATCTGATTCTAGTCTAGAATCTGATTGTAGTCTAGAATTTGATTTTCAGTACCTGTTAAAGAACTACTATATAATTTAATATTATTTATTTTATGATTTTTCATAGAATTTATGAGATAGAACGTCGTGTGGAGACTCCAATAATGTTCCGCTATCCCCTGTTTGAGGCTATGCATTGGTATGCAGGAGCACATCTACTGACAATGTTACGTCGACATAATGAGGAGACACAGGTAATCTAGAATTCTAGTAAAAATAATGAATTGTCGGTACACATTTTTATATATTTATTCTGAGAGAAGTTCTCACGGGAAAATAGCAGGCTTAGTATATTTTATGAATGATAATATTAGAAATGCCATGATTACTCATGAAGTATACGTTTATTAGTATCATACTTTGATATTCAGTTTAAATATGTCATGGGCCAATTGTTCAATTGGGCCGATCGAGATCTGTCGAAGCATATTATGATATGCCGCCTTTTCTCGATTTGACCAGGAAAATCATGATCGGCCCGGTTAAAGTTTTTGGCATATCGACGAGAGCAATTTGTCGATTTTTCCAAGTAATCACTTGGACACATCGTGATATGGCTGGGTTCATCGTAGTATAGTTCCATTTCGTGACACTGTGGCGCTGTATGAAAGATGGCCACGTCACAAGCAAAGGAAACCTGTGATAATCCAAATAATGACAGTGAGTTACCTGCTTCCAAAAGTGCTTTCCAAATTAATTATGAGCGTCAACTATAGGAGCTATTTGCGAGTCACGCAAATTCAACGTACAATGTTGAAAACCATGGAATTCTGACCAAATTCTAATGGTTGACTTTTATGAAACAAATGCTGGTTTGGATAACACCTTAATGTCTTATGGTAATTATAACAATATATTATGACTACGGGTTTGTTTTCTTTATGCGGTAGGGAAAAACCCAGATTGTTGCCCATCTCGGCTTACATAGTAATTTGGTCACCCTACAAAATCGATTGGCCCGAGTATAATCGGGCAAATGGTAACACGTTAAGCATTGAACGAAATGGAGGATTATATATGGCCATATCAAGAAATGGCGGCATATCGATATATGCCCGGGCAGATCTTGATCGACCCAATTCAACAATTGGCCTATGACATATATATTTAGAATTTACGATAAAAACATTTATTAAAGTTTGTTCACTGATTTTTTTTCTTCTATACATTTTCCATTATGATATTCAGTTGGATATGAATTTATAATGGTCAGGATGAAGACTTCACCATCAACGAGAGTTGTGTATCAATGCCGCCTGCTCAGTTGCCGCAATTGCTACTGAGGGGCATCAAGATATTATCCAACGCACTTAAAGAGTGGCACGCACTCAAAAGTGTAAGTATTCTTCATACAACAGTTAAATATTCCAAATAAGTTCAAAACAGTTAAATATTCCAACAAAAAAATATAATTATGATTCTAATTAATTTGAATAGAGAATAATTTTGAGTTCTATTTATAGTATACTAAAAATATAGACTCATCTGTTATTTGATCATGGCAGTTTTTTACGTTAATTAAATAAAATGTTGGTTAATAGGTAACAAAATCACAAATGGATTGCTAAGTGAAGGGGCATTACTGTAATAAAAGGTTTTCTTTTATAATTTACTTTAATTGACTGTTATCTAATTTCCCCATCTCTTATTGATAAAAATTGATCACCAATTGTAATAACATGACAATAAAGAATGTAAATATGAGTTAAAACTTTCATAGACGGACGCAGGGAAGAGAGACAATGTCCCGAAATGTCTCAACTCGGGTCAACTAGTTCGAGAATTGTGCAAGGAATTACGAACCTTGGAGAAGAGATCGGCCAGCGCTGCTAACAAAGATAAGGTATTAATACAAAAAACTGCAACGTTTTATTTATATACAGTAAAACCAAACTAAAAGCGCGTCATGAATATTAGTTTTCGCAAACGAAGACCTACCAATTCCAACGCCATTGTTGGAATTGGTAGGTCTCCGTCTTGTTTTAATTAATATTAGGTGTAAAATGCGTCAGGCGCGCTACGTTAATCATACTCATTAGCCAGGATTTGCCGCTTTAAAATTTATAAGTGTGCTAATTAATAGGATTCGTGTAATTGTATGATATTGAAATTAACATCTTTTCATCTCGCTCGATGATGCAATGATTAATGCGTATGATCTGCGATGCAACAGTTAAAACTTCGCAAAGTCCAGTAATAGATAGGATTTGTAAAAAAAAAATCTTACCTTAAGCTCCTCTGTACTTCGGAAGGCACGTTAAGCCGTTGGTCCTGGAAGCACCTGCATTCGTAGTATATATCTAGCTACCAATAAAGTATGAACTTCAAATGTGTTTAGTACCATGCTATATAATATAATAATAATAATTATTATAGAGTATTATTATAAAGTATTAAAAAATTTTAATTAGTCTATAGTTAGTAACTAACCAAAAACCATTTCATTCTTAGGACATAAAAATCAAAAGTACATCACCTACGAAGTCACACTCAAAGAAATCTCAGAACACAAAGAAATCATTGAAACTGACACTCCCAAAACCAATAATGCACATGGCACAGAACGGAGAATTTGTTGAAGAGAAGGTTTACGCAGACAAGTTTTACATAGACAATAAAGAAATAGTCTATAATGAAACCAGGTATGTTTTGGTTCATGTTCACATATATTATGATGCTCTTCTCGTTTAAATGAATTTTAGTGATATTTTGCATCGCATTATAATTCACCTTGGATTAATTTCAATAAGTTTATTTATGAATTATTTTACAATAAAAAATCCTCAGCATGCAAAAAATCGGCAACTTTGCCTTCGAGTTGCGAGACGCCCCTAAAAAGAAGAAGATACATAAAAAAATTGTCATAATTTGTTCGATTTCCCAAAAGCTTTTGAATGAGTGGATATGCAAAATTTGAATAACTGTTTATAGAGAAACTGTTTTTGCAGACCAAGTTTTTATAGTTATTCTAGAAAGCAAGGAATAGTAGAACGTTTTGTGTGTACGATATGTATTGGTAAAGTGTACCACAAGGTTAAATACTAGGACTATCTCTTTTTTATTTGCCATCATAGTGTAGTTTATGGGTAATGCCCAATGTTTTTAATATATTATCATCCAGCTGTAAGATGATTACCTTGTCTAATTTTTAATCCAATAACATGAAGTATATACTTAGCATATATATATTATTTTTATTTTTTCTCTTTATTAAAAAAATTATAAAAACAATACATATATTTGAACAGGTATATGACGCAGGACATTAAATATCCGAACGGTATTCCCGAGGCGAAGTATGTTACGGACAACAAAGAGATGATGATCACAGACAAGTATCCATATCCGAATTATGAGGAGCAAATTTACGACAACGGTTACCTCGATAGACAAGATAAGAAAACTGTACTCAAGATAAAAATGAAGTAAGTATATTAATATTTAGACAAAATGAAATAAAACAAGGAGACAAAGCAGTAAATTTGCGAGCTTGTAACAGTCTAGACTGAATGATATTGAATTTAATATTTTATTGTGATTAGTAACTCCCCATCATCATCACGTGAAGAACCTCCTCCGTATAACGTGGAGCATTCGATATTGAAGTCTCACTTGATCAGAGCGGACAGGCCGGCACTCAAACCGATCCACCAGTGGACCATATCCAAGAAGGACACAGGAGACTACCATGAAGAACAGATATTGTTCACAAACGAGAACCTACACACCAGCATGAGGATCGATAACCCACAGATCACATATGGACCTGGTGAGTCACCGAGTTATTTTATTTTTATTAAAAAAAAATGTGATATAGACGACCAAAATGAGGAGCTTGATTGCGCATTGGTTAGTGCGTTCGGTCTGCGATACGGTTGTTAAGCAACTTTCGCAATGGCCAGTCACAGGATGGGTGACCAAAAAATTATTATCTCACACTCGTCCGTGCTTCGAAAGACACGATAAGGCTGCATCTGCAATCGTTTAAACCCATCAATCCGCACTGGGTTCTCGTAGTGGGTCATAGCCCATTCTCCTTATTAGGGGCCATCCTTAAATCACGTGATGTTTTTTCAACATTTTTTGACCCCCCCTCCCTGGGGTTTAAGTCCTTCAACCAAATCACGTGTACTTTTCAAAACTAACAATAAATCTTAATTTTTGACGTCGCTTTTCGGCTTAATAATCGCGCGTCGAGAAAAAATTAAATATACGTGATATATTACCACACCTCTCCCACCACCAAATGTGATATTTCGTGATTTTTGACGAATCCCTCCCCCCCTTTCGAGCCTCACGTGATTAATGGACGGCCCCTTAGATTCGATTCGATTCCATCTGTGCCTGAGTGGAGACATTAATAGGCTGGTGATGTGTTCTATGAGTAACATTGTGGTGGGTGGGTGGGTCTAACATATTTACGTGGAACATTAATGGTGCTGATGTTTTATCTATAGGAATGTACTCGGCGGAAGATATTCAGCCAGACTACCAGTACTCTGAGGCGGCCAAACCTGGATCCTACCAACCAGAGTACGGCTACCAACCTGAATATGTAGATACATACCAGCGGTACGATGAGCCGCAGATGCAGACAGTACACCAGGTAACATTATTTTCTCTCTGATTAAACAATACGTTAACTTAGATAGTGTTGTGTATAAGATTCTATCCAAAGAATAGAGTTACATATGTGTTTTCTCTACTTTTTAAGATAGTTAGCGATTTCAAAATTTTATTGCTTTGGTGTTAATTTAGTTTACAGAATATACGTTTTATATTTTCAAAGATCGTTTAGGTCATTGTTATTGCTTTCTCTGTCTACATCGTAATTTAATGTGACGTCACAAGACGCCTGTCTTGGCATCCCGCGATTCTACAGTCAATAAATTGCAAGTTGATTTTGTAAAAAGAAAATATACTTACTATTTATTATAAACGAAAAAATACTGCATAGTTATTTTTTACATATCAGTTACCTTTTCCAACAAATTTAAAAAGTTATCGTAATAATATAATGTAGTTTTGGTAGTGAAAAATAAGGCACGAAATTCTACAACATAATATTTACATCATAATAAACAGAAAATCTGATATTGAGTTTTAAAATCGCAGGATTATCCTAAACTGAAAAGTCGTGACTTTTTTGTCTGTGTGTCACGTGACTTGAAATAAACCCACCATTGTGTGACGTCAACATCGTACCTTGTCCATTGTCAAATAAATTAAATAATATATCCGGCAGGGCGCTAGTTATAGTAACGTGAGCGTGAGTGAGCCCGCGGTGGCGGCTGTCGACAGTTACCACGAACAGAGTCGCCTGCCGTCGTACGACGCCGCCATCGCGCAGTACGCACCCGCCTCTGCTGATTACGTGAGTCTCAATACTCAATGTAATTTTGTTTAGTTAGGATTTGTTTAGGTTTAGTTAGGCTATACATCTATACTAGAAATGCCCCGAATAGTGATTACACTTAATAACCGAATAATATTCGGTTTAACATTTACTCAACCGGATATTCGGTCGAATTATTTAAGAATAAATGTTTATTTGGAGTTTAATTGCTTAATTTTATTAGCTTTTTATTGAACACATTCTACATAGGACTTATTTGACATAAATTTTATATAGGAAGTTTTGTCTTTTAGTTTATACCTTGTCGTGTAACCAAGAAAATAGAAGTACTAGTACCGAATAAATTCGGTATCAAAACCAAACTCGGCTCGAATATAAATAGTAAAAAAAGATGACCAATTACGCCGAATACCAAATTCGGCGCATCTCTAAACTACCAACATCATCATCATCATCATCATCATCATCATCATCATCATCATCATCATCATCATCATCATCATCATCATCAGCTTCTCCTCTGTTGGTGCTCAGGCCTTATGGATTTCCCTGTGGATAATATCAAATCGTATAGGTATAGGCCAGAATCGAGTGTGGATTAGGGGGTATCAACCACTGCAGATGCATTCGAGCCCATCGGCTTAACGTGCTCTCCGAAACACGTAGGAGCTCAATATAATAAAATTTTGGTCACCCATCATATAACTGGTCATTTCAAAAGAATCTTAACAACCGTCAGGGGCGTAGTCAGAGATTTGGAGTAGGTTATGCAGCATGTATATACCTATATTTAAAATACCTACCATATTTCACCATAGTTAATTTCTAATACGTCCAGGACACAGATAACCTCCAATAGATGTCGTATAAAAGACAGTTGATGTAGCCAAGCATCTATGATTCCGCATAAATCATTTTAACAAAAAAAGTAATACGCGTATGCGAATCCGCAGTTACGACCAAGTGTGAATATATGCTTGATGAGAAGATTTTTCATTATAATAAAGTAGTTATTAGGTTAACCATGACAATTTGTAGTGTCAAATGGTGTGGAAAAAATTCCAGAACATCTAATTCCAAGAAAAATGATATAACTTTTCGCCAGTAATATAAATTTTGTATTTGCGGAGTTCTAGTTATAGTAAAAATTTAAAGGTATCTTTATAAAAACGCAGTCCGCATTGATGTCTTCTTGAACCCATCCCTTTCTCTCATTACTAAATTAGTTATTTATTTCATTCGTTATTCAAAAGCCCAAAGTTTGAAACTTTTGAGTTTTTTGTCTAAATTAACCCCCTTTTGAAGATTTGACTTTATATTTTTATGTCGAGGTAGTACAACACTTAATTTTATGAATGTTTTGTGTCTCAGTGCATTATATCATAGCTTTAAATTAGAAAATGTAACAAGTAAACTAGTGCTACAAGAAATGCAAAAGTGGTTATTTTTAGGGAGTTTTAATTTATGTAATATGGATCAACACATTATGGTTCCCACCACTACGGAATACGTGTCTTTGTACTAGCCAATAGCGTTGCCGCCGTTATCTCGCCCGCCACCTACCCCATCGCATAATGTAAAATTTTGTGAGATAAAAAGTAGTCTATGTGTAGATTCAAGCAGTACCAAGTTTCTTTATAAGTACATAATTGTATATACATGTTATCTCGTAATGTTGCAATAAAGATTATCAATTATTAATATATTCAGAGAAATTTTCGTATTTATATTTTATGATATTATTATAATGATGATTATTATAAAAAATATAGACAACAGAAGAGCCGAAAGCCGTCCGTCGGTCTGAACGTCCGGTCAGAAGACGAGTATCCAACACTTATGACTACGAGGATGGAGATTTGTATATAGACGATACTCCAGCACCGCGTAGAAGGAAACAACCCAAACACAAACATTATAGGACACCAACAGGTAATTATATTACACGTTGCACTTTTTCTTTATTATATACGACTTGTTTTCCCGTGTGTGTATACATTCTTTAAATATTATACATTCTTTATTTTTCTATATCCTTAATTAAAGATAACCAACTCTTTCTTTATCGACTTTAGCTAGCTTATGTATAGTTTTATGTACGGACGAATTTTACCGACGCTTCTTATAACAATGGTCGACTTAATATGCCATTAGAATAATATTTAATAAGGTTTTTCTAGACCGTCTATGTCTCTAAGCGAATGGCTAAGTTTATCAGCACCTTTACAATCCATTCATCAGGGTCAAGTAGTAGTAACTATCGTCAGAATGCATCTCGGCCGGCGCCCGCCAACGGGATCGAGTCCCTGATACAGGCGTCCGTTATAGCGGAGGGAGAACAGCCCGTTGATGACACTACGTGAGTCATTTATTACTATCAATATCACTATCATCTGTGGCCTAATTGTATAATTTTTAAATCCCATACATTCATTTTCAAACGTACCTATAGCGGTTGTGAATGTGATTTGATATGGAGTTGTGTAACTAAAAATCACAATTGCTTTCGGAATGAATGATGATTTGAATAATATTCATAGATAACTCATTTCGTTTTGTTTGTTGTTAAGTTTATGAAATAATTCTCCTATTTCGACTTATTTCATATAAATAAAATAATAGAATGTTAAATCATTTCATACTTTTGACAAAAACGACGTTTTATTTCAACAAAAAAACAAACAAAACTATCGTACTAACAAAACGCACCAAGCGCGTTTTTTTATGTCAGCTCGTCTAGGGAAGAATCGGTTAAAGTAAATAGAAATACTTACACGATACTTTTCTTTCGATACTCGTGTACTATACTACTATAATACTACCAAGTACTTGTGGCTATTCTATTTACTATTCGGTTCTAAGTATCGAACTTAGAACCGAATAGTAAATAGTATCGTGAAGTAAGTAAGTGTTTGTATCGGTACTTGGTCGGTCACTCAATGAGGAGTGTTCAAAACTTGCGACCATTAATCTGTTTAGTCTGTGTTAAGGTATCGAAAGTCTATCTTATGAAAAAATCCCACAGGTGCAGCGTCCCTGTACCTGTATGACTAAGCATTACTAACCCCCTACTAATTTTATGCTAGAGTTAGAGATCTATCTAGAGGGGGCATTGCCAACAAAATTTTGAAGCAATACCTAACTAAATACATAATAAATACTTTCTATATGCATCTCTTTTTATGTCTAAACCTACTTCTCTTTCTTCATTAAACAGAGTATAGCTATTGTCTATCAATAGTTTTAAATCTACTCTAAAAATCTATAAAAATGATGATTATGGTGAGGCATTTTAAAACTATTCCCGCCCGTCATGTCATCAGCTGTGCATCACCTGGATCATTGGCATTTGATTTTAAGTTTGAAATATTTATTAATAGCTGTTATTTAGAGTATATAGAGTATATAGAGTTCTGAGTAAATTCACGTATTAAAAGATTGGTAAGCCAATAATGGAGGAATTTATTAACATCGTGTAATAGTCACCTTAGTGAAATATGCAAATTTTGTGGTAGTTAAATAATTACCATTTTATTAAATATTGTATATACAAAAGCAATCAAGTAAGTGTTTTTAGTATTTTTTTCCTCCGTAACGAGTGATTATATTATTTCTAGAATCTATAATATATAATAATTATAAGTTTTAAATGTATATAAAGTATATCCTTAACAAAACTATAAAAAACATACATAAAATGTGGAAAGATGTGCGCAACGCTTTCATTTGACATTTACCCAATAACTTTTAAAAGTTGTTACTATCAATTTGCTTAGACAATTCCGATTATGTCAAATGAACGTTATCGTTCATTCAATATCTTTCAAAAAAAAGTCGCGAATGTCTTTCAAATGTCAAATTGAAAGTGATTTGTGAATAATTTTTTTAGACAATTACCCTATTGCTTATTAATGTCCCAGCAGTAGGGACATGTCTTTCCTATAGAGTTTATCTAGTAGGGGGACAGTGAGGATTAGTAGGTGTAATATAGGACCAACGGCTTGACATACCTTCTGAAACACAGAGAAGCTAGACATAATAAAATTTTGATCACTCATCCGAAGACCGGCCCCTGAGAAATTGCTTAAATTCAGCATCGCAAATCCCACCATCCAACTCTTCAACAACTCTATATTAATTGTGATTTATGAAACACAATCACACTTCGCAGGACTAGATAGTTAACGTAAACATGAAAATTCTTTCTTACGTTCACGACTTTACTGTCATTTTAGTGCTGATAGTAAAGAAAATTAAGTTTACTAAATATTTATTAGATTCGTTTAACTTTATATTATTTTATTACGTTTATTATCAGTATTGACACTTTATCAAGAATTCATAAAGCATATTTTCTAAATTGGTCTCTTGCTCTTTTTTATCACTAAATATGATGTTGACAATTTCTGTTAATGGTGGCCAACCTAAGCGCGTCGTCATTTTATGATTACGATATCATATTACGATAAATGCATTAATTTATAAAAAATAAAAATGTCGTTCCGAACGCAATGCGAACAAAAATGGCTGTTTACCAGTTTTGTTCTTATTCGGCTCGCATTATATTACAGATTCACACATAAATATAATTTTATTCAATCTACTAATACACGATTGTTAATAGCACTACGCGCTGCACTTATATGTAGGTACTGCACATAACGTGCGAGTGAAAAGTCGTCGGCGTTGGGTTCTCTGCTTACCCCGCCAGGGATACGGCACGAAGATATAGACAGATAAATATATCTTATATTGTGTATGTATAGTGAGGACGTAGCGGTGGCGGGCATGTTGAGCATCAGCGAGCGTTACTCTGCGCCTGTCACCTTCGGTCTGGCGGCAGATGTATCTACCAGCTCGCCACAACACAGGTACGCCGGTTATAATCCGCAATAGGGGATTTTACAACTTCCAAAAAACTGATATAAATTATTAATAATAAAATCAAAGTCCGTAGCGTTATGAACCATTTCGTCAATGCATGATTTGAATTGACATCCACCTGGCCATTCTATTCTCTGCTGAACGTAATGACTATAAAGATCTCATTTTGACATTGACCCGACCGAGAATCCAATCCTTAGAGATGACATCACTTTGAAACTTAGAAATGTATATACGTCCATTATACGCATATGTACATAGTACGCATAAATTGTAGTCATCGTCACCTGCGTATGATGTAACTTTCCGTAAGTGATAGAATTTTCATGATTGGCACAAGCATCTAATTAATATTAGTATAGATACGTATAATCATCCGGAAACTAAATCGTATCTGAACTTATTGATTAGTTTAGCTATTTTATAAATGTTAGTATTGATATGAAGAGTTCACACTGCAGCAGTAATACGGCGTCCAGCAGTAAGCGGACGCGGAAGCCCGCTGCGGTGAGCAGTGCCGATGAAGATTTCGCTGATGAAGAAGACGTTATCAAGGAAGTACATCGTGACGAGGAGTACGGTTAGTTGAATTAATATTTAAATCTTATATTAGAACTAGCTTTCCGCCAGCGGCTTGGCCCGCGTGGTCCTTTGGGAACTTTATTTGGATATCGATTCATATCATGACATGGATATAATTACAATGACAAATTAAATACTAAACAATGGTCACTTTTTCTGGCGCTGGGAAATGCGTTGCGCATACTCGCTCTCCTCTAGCGCAGGGTGTGGGACTCTCCCCTGTGGATCTACCCCAGAACGAGTCTAGTCAAATAGTAAGGGCATACCTACTAAAACCTAGCACCTCTATGGAGGCGATGCACGGACACAAACTTCCACTCCTATTATCCTATTTATTTGATAATTTTTGACATAAAATATAGCTTATGTTCACCGCATATTATGTAGCTTCCCGTAGGTGAAAGAATTTTAAAAACGCCAGTAGTTTCAGAGCCTATTCCTTGCAAACAAAGAAACAATCAATTCTTTCCTCTTTATTATATGAGTATAAAAAAAATAATAACTTGAACATAATTTATTTGTGTTATAGTGGTTAGCAATATTTAAATATGATTATATAAAAAACTAATATTTCCTGCAGTATACCCATCACTAGAGATGAGTTCTGATGAAGACGAGGAGTGGACATCATCACGACGGCGGCGTACCTCAAGGAACAGGGTCGATAGCAAATCTAAAGGAGATAAGTAAGTATTTGTGGGAAATTCAAATTTAAATTTCCTTCCTCCCGTGGCTGGAATATTTTTAAATATAAAATCTATAGAATCTTATATCTTTAAAAAATATCAATCGGATTTAATTATTTCTTAAGAACAATAATGACAGATATATCAAACCGGAAGTTAAAGTTTCCGATAAAAGAAACTATCACGTGTACAATTTGGATGAATTAATATAACACCTGACTAAAATGACGTTTGTTTAAAGTACAGCGTGTAAAAAATTAACAAAATATGCGGTTGAGAGATTGTCAGTGCTTATTTATTATGTTAACTCTAAAAAAATGCTATTTATTCCGTATATTTTTGGAAAACGGTTTAAAACTATATTTATTTAGAAAGTAGTGCACGTGAAAAATATAAAAACCATGTGTGGGACAAAAAAGGAGTTTTGGTTCTTTCTTCGTTCGGTTCTTTGATAGTAGCCGCTGGTAGTAAGACTTCCCGGTGTTTTGGTAATTGGCTGTACAGTCCGTTATATAAGCGTTAATTTTTTGACAATTAAATTTATTTTTAGATTTTAACTTATTATATGAATGATGAACACTTTATTGTACACATAAAAGTATCATAAATATAATATATTTATATATATCTTCTACATATATTTCATGTATATCTATAAAATAAAAAATAAAAAAAAGTTGTGTATCTAATATTTTGTCTATACATTTCGGAACCGAACGTAACCATTATAGAGCGATCGCGTGGCCCCGCCAGACCTTACGTACATTTTATAATGTTCTTGTATAAATAAGGGACGAGTGTTGGTCACCTCGCGCGCGCGTGGGTCGCGTGACGCCGCGGTCCCGCGGTCCCGCCAGACCCAACGTGCGGCGGGAGTGTGTCCGCGCCGCGCTGCATCACGCCGCGCACGCTCCGCACGCCACGCACGCGACACTCGCCCCACACGACAACACACAGGTATTATTATACTTAATTCAATCTTTTTTTTTTCGGCTCTCAACCTTAAGGGTTCGGAACCACCCTCCCAATGGGGGAAGGAGGCGGTGAATCCTTCATTGGTTGGCTATGGGCTCACAGTTGGCTATGAGGTTATGTTAGACACCATCTGACTAAACACCGCCTCGGACAGTTGGTTGCGTGCAGGAAGGGGCATCGAACCTTCGATCGGAACGACCGCCCTCCCGCAGGGGGGAGGGTCTGCCCCTATTCACCTACATGAATTGTGACATGATGTAAGATGTAATATTTCAATCTCATTTTGAACATTCACAACATATTTTTATAACATTTTTTTAATACCTAACTTTTTTTATATAATTTCATGATATATTTTTTATAATGTATCTATATACGCAAATTACACAATATTTTATAAATGAAACAACAATGTATTTAGTTTTATTTACGTTTCGGACCGTTTACGGGTTCCATACCTTAAGTGTTAACAAGGTTTTAACAACTTAGTCTTATGTGAACACACAACCTGACAAGATTAAGATCACATAAGACAAATGTGTTGAAACCTTAGTGTTAACACCTTAGCCATATGTGAAAACCAGTAAAGGGTCCAAAACGTCAATAAAACTAAATACAAACGTGATGAAACCGTTTGAAAGTTGTTTCAATTATGAATAATACATGTGAAAATATAAGAAATAAATACAGAACATTTAATTATTTTTTTTTTTTGTAAAGTTCGAGTTTATCACATATCTATTTTTCAAATTGTTATAATGTCTGTTTGCAAACTCATGAAAACAGTATCGTTAATGCGCCTTAAGCGATTAGAGTAGCTTGTACTAAGTTAATTACCATTACCGTACCTATATATTATAATTAGGATAATTCTGTTAAACCACTGTATTGCACGCAATATATATATATATATATCTAACTGACTTGCTTTCAAATAATTTATGGTCACATTTTTCGATAAATTGGCTCAATGAACGACAGAAAGGCACGGAGAAACTATTTTTTTATTTGGTGCCATGCGTCATTTACAAGGTTTCGGTTTTTATTATCTTTGTTTTCGAATCCCATATTTGTCTCCCTCTATTATTGACACAACTGCTCACGATTTGCTAAACATTGCAACAAATATGACTAGCCGCATAAACGTAGATGTTTGTTTACTTTAATGTACGCACAAAAACCAACTTCAAACTACACACATTCGAAAATGCCCATACCACACTTCGTGGCATTGTAAGCATTTTCATATTTGAGTACATGTCTGCCGCCGGCTTTTGAATATTTGACCTAGCAACACAACCACACCCTTGCTTTAGCTTTCATAGAGAAATAAAAAACAGCTGACAGTTGGCACTTTTACTCTAGCTCGATTACAAAATATTTTAAGAATATATTAAGGTATAATATAAGCTATATTATACGCTATCATTACCTTTAAATACACTATTATACTAACCAAATTTGGAACAATGTAATTTATGAATGAATTATTATTATTGTACTTAGTCAGGCGTATTATTAAATAATATTAAATACGTATTTTTTTTTTGCGTAATCAATAAATAACGACGATATATTAAATTGAAATGTTGCATAACGTCAGGCTTTTGTACATTTTCTACAAAACTGTGACGTAGCGAGCCCCCACTCCTCAACTTTAATGCCTATTATCTAAGTCATTATATTTATTTATTTTTTAAATAATGTTTTTCTGCATGGTATCAATGTTATTTCATCTTCATCATCATCATCAACCCTTTTACGTCCCCACTGCAGGGGCTCAGGCCTTCCTTATGGATGGTTAAGGAGGATTATCCATGACCTTCCACGCTGGCCCAATGCGGATTGGAGGGTATTAACGACTGCAAATGCAGCCGGGACCAACGGCTTAACGTGCCTTCCGAAGCACGGAGTAGCTCGAGATAATAATTGTTTTATGTTTGAAAAAATTGTTTCAGAATGCCAAACGGGCGGTTATAGCAACAAAAAGCAAGCGGCCACCGCCACCTGTACAAAATACGCCAAATAACAAAAGTAAGTATCACGATGTATTTTATAAATAAGACAAGAAAAACGTTATCCAAGGCTCTGCTACAAAATGAATAGAAGCAGTTTTTGAAGTTGTGTTCTATGGCGGGTCGAGTTTCAGAACACGGTATTCACATATAAAAAAACTATACTTTTAAATTTCATATACTTCAAAATCAAATATTTGATTATGTCAATTTTAGATTTGTAGATTTTATTTTTATTTAGTAACATAATTTTGTCCACAGATCTAAGACTGAAAAAGGGTATGAAGACAGCTAAACAGCGTCTAGGTAAAATCCTTAAAATACACAAGATGATACTTTAAAATAGTTTACTTACTTGTAAATTAGATCGTAAAATAGTTCTAGATGTAAAAGTTAGATGTATATTTTATTATAGATATATATATATATATTATAAATGTATGTGTTAGCATGGACCAATGGGTGTTGTGGTATGCATTTTTCCATTATTTCATACAGATGGATTGAGATAATATTCTAAATTTTGTCTTAAATAAAAGTTTGCATTTTTTCATAAAAATACTCTATTGTAGTTCAGTGAGATTCATTTAACATAACTCCATGTTTTTGTCAGATAACAAAATATATATTATAAATTAGAGATATGTACCTCCTCACTATAGGTATTGGGAAGGATTGAATGACCATAACATATCGAAAATTATAAATCTTAATATATGATAAATCTTTAGCGATTTATTTTTTTTTTCTACATGATCGCACTTTTTTGTATTTATTTTTTTGAACACAAGATTTACTCTTTAATTTCTTCTGTATCTTTTTTATTAAATAATCAAAGCCATAGCTAGTTTGACTAGGACTTTACAAAAAATGCGGTTTCCGGTTAGTGTAAAATAAAATAGCGGTATTTTTTATTTGTTGCATTTTTTATCTTTATTCTTATTATATGTACTTGTAACTAACTTGGTGACTAATTTTGTCTAGTTATGATTCGATTATTTTCGTTTGTTGTTATTTCACACATGACAATACTAATTTGTTAAAATTAACAACAGAGTACGTTATCTCTTTTTCTCTTACACGATAAGAAAAGGACAGGTAATCATAGTTAGATCAACTTTAAAAAGTGCATTAAACTTTTAAACTTATTGATGGCTGAATTAAATTTCATCGTATATATGTTTTCGATAATAGTATTAAGAGAAGAAGAATTACTTTAACATCTACAAATTGCCCTTTAGAAATCTATTTCAGTGTTTTTTTTTTTATTCTGTTACAAATTGAATTGAAGAGTGTCTTACTTAACACTAAATTTAGTATTAACTAGTTTAATTACTATTTTTAGGCCTGCATCATATTTGTTTGTAGACAACCGAATTTCTTATAGCTATCTCTTTCTTCTTTTATTTTTGACATCTGTGCAATAAATATAACAAACAATATTTTTGTTTATATATATAGGTATTTAAAATCCATGAAAAAACTCATTTTGTATTTAGTTTTCATGTAAAATGACCACAGCTTAAAAAGATCTGAGTAATATACGTTAAGTTGTTAATTGATTGGAATAAGTTATTTTTAATTATAATAATAAATCGACCTTTCAAAATCACTTTTATTACTATATGTAATAAAATCGAAATTTAATAAAATCTGTATATATTACTAAAAGAGTTTTCGAAGACAAAACTAGTTAATATTGATATACATATTTCGACATTTTGATAATTCAGTATGTTATTTTTTCTATTAGATATTGGACAATAGAAAACAAAGACAAAAATATGTTCTTTTCTATTTCGCTGTACTCACCACCGACGTGTTGAATTGTATATAGTTTTTTAAGAGATGGTTAAAAATAATCTGTTAAATGTTGTTCTTGCTGATGATTTTTGTTATATCACTTATATACATATTTTTTGGCAATTGTAAGACTAAAAATTGTGTATTGATGTGTTAATTTCGTTATAAACTGTGTTTTGGGACGGGTGCAAAGTAACTTATATATTTTTATAGTTGTTTTAAAATTATAACTTTGAAACTTATGAGTTTTGTTTTGATTCGAGCTTGGGCTATGACATGACGTTCAAACTAAATGTATATATATCACAGTTATAAACTGTTGTTTTTACTATATTGACAAGTATAAAATACTTTTGTAACATCATTTAGGGACATCAAATAGCAAAAAATATGAATTACTAATATTATCCAGCATACGCCCAGGCTACCCATGCCGAACATATGGGCATTCTGAAACCGACAATACTATAAATTAAAAATGCCATATTAATTTAATATAAAACAGCCTCGAACGAAACGCTGACATAGCACAGAGGCTCAATTACATAAAACCTACTTTAGAAGGTAATAAAGGTTGTATTTCATTAAAGCTCTTATGCTGTTACAGCGCTTTGCTCAACATTTAGTTGGAAACTATTATTTATCAATGAGTAATATTTTTTATTATCAGAACTCTGTCAAAAATCTTAGTTCAATTTTAGATCTAGATTTTGATAAAAATCATTTTTGGATAAGAAATTTATGTAATAAATAATAAAAATACATTGGAATGGACACTTGTCATCCAGTTTTAAATTTTACTACGGGGGCTGGGCTTGGAACACTCCCCGCTGGATCCCAGTCTTCCCTAAAAAGAGACGGTGCAAGTAGGGTGTTAAGTGGGTATCCCATTCACGATTTGACTTATCCTTCTGGTGGGTGACTGCGGGTGGAGAATCCCACAAACCAGTGCATAAATCATTTCCCTACGACAAAAAATACTTTTAATTTTGCTACCTCAGCTTTTTCAAAATAAAATGCTGAATATTCTATTTTCTAGTTATATTGCCTATTTCAGTTTTGTATAATGTTTATAGCTTTAAAAATAGGATGTGTTATGAAAATATACATTAATTAAGGTATTAAAACCCTTGTGTGTACAGTAAAACAGCATTTTTAGTGTTTTATTTAAGAATACCCATTATGTGTTCACATTCTTTCTAAAATGGATTTAGACCCTGATTTTCTCAGAAAATGATGAAAAATTACACAGATTTTGATAACGTTTACTTTTTTTTTTAATTAAATGAGTTTCATAATAATAAAAATATAAAATTATCTTGCACCTGTCTCCTTGGTTAGTATTGTTTCTAATGTGTAAAACAGGGTGAATAAAAGTATGGTAAATTACGACGTGTACATATTTATATGGTCTTATGTATACATATAGGGGCGTGTATGCAAAATTAGGCCTTATGAGCTGGTAATATAGTTCGCTTTATCTAATCAGTGATTTTTTCTGTAGTATTGCAGTGTGTATTGAACAAACAGTTGATGAATGTTTCGCTTTATTGAGCATTTACGAATACGGTATTGATATACTAGAAATCTTAACGTTATATTTTTTTGTATATATTGTAACCATAATGGTTTGCTGACAGTATTACTTTAAAAACTAACCGAATGCAAGTAAAAATTAAAAAGGGAGCGGAAAATTTAATGTCCTAAAATAAAGAATAATATGAGCACTTGATTTCTTTTAAATTTGAGTGCAAAATCAGTAAGACACAGTTTTAATGGTTTTATAGCTGTTTGATCTGTAATTCATTTACCATCGTGAAAAACCATAAAACAATTAAAATATAAAAATTACATTGCCATGGCGAAATTGTAAAATTCAATGATACAAAATATATTATTTACTGTCTATGCCTTCATATTAAGATTTAGTTTTTTATGGTATAACTTTATTTAACGAGGAAACAATCGTCAACTGTTTTCAATATAAGTTGTAAAAGTGTTTGGGTTTATGATTAGTATTTCGCTGTTGTGACGTCATATTAATATGTATATACACGGAAGTCACACAAAATAAATTATAGATTATATTGTGGTTATTATAAGAAATGATGTGTCCAATGCTGAAAATTAATAGTAAGGCGGCGCGTTGTTGACACTTATGTCGTGGCCATTCTCAACCTTATGATCCATTATATAAACATTATTTTGGTTAAGCAAGTAATCAGTTTTGTTAAATTATTGGTTATATTTTTTATGGTGTTCTGTTTTTACTGGTGAATATCATTAGCTAGCTTGCCAAAATTAAGAATTTTTAAGATTTTACTTTGGTAACCATAAAATTAAAGCGTCTTTTCATTAAAGGTACCTTTTTTAACGTCACATATTATCAATGTTGGATCGTAGATTAAGTATGGCTGCTGATTCCCAATTTAATTTTGTCTAGAGATCCTAATATCAGCTTTGATAAGTGTACTTAGTATGAACCCAAACTTATGAAATAATAGTATAATATCAAAGTAATCTTTCCACAAATTAATTTATTTTTGTCATTGTCTTAAATGGTACCATGTAGATTTAATTAAAAGCGCCTTTTTGCTTAAGTATAGTATATATGTTACACGTAAAGAATAAAAGAATATTATTGTAAAGAACGTTGGCTCATACATTTTACGTGAATTATTGAAGACGCCATTTTGACGGAACCGCCAATCGAATGATAGTGTGAGAATACATGGAATTTTGATTAGCTCTCATGCTTTTTGGCCGCAAAATGTGCAAGTTGCTGGCGACTTGTAACTTTGAATAATAGAGACGAATGATATTTACATTATTGATATTACATTTGTATTGCTTTTCTCGTTGCACGAGTATATATTTTCGAGGGAATGATAAATAGAACGTGTATGGGCTGACGTATATGAAAGAATAGTATACAGATATGTATATTGTAAATTATGATTATGATTGAGGGTGGCACTTCGCAGTTTTGTAATAATTGACAACTAATAGATGTTCATTGTTGTCGAATTTAATTGTTTATTTTTTTTATAATGGAGAATATGATTTGTGACGGTAATGTAATATTGTTAATGTTTTATTTGGTATTTTTTTTTTTAGTTTGCCACAGTTCATTTGACTAGTTACAAAGTGAACTGAGGCAAAATAAAAAAAAAATCGAGAAACAAATTACTGATTTCATAGTTCAGTACGATTCCAATATTGCGTTACTAGCGCAAAACATATCAATAGTTACATTTTCAATTTTGAAATTAAAGCCATTCGTTGAAAGACAAAATTAGTCAAGATTGTGTATCGTTCCACCTTACCTGTGAATGTACATTGTTGTGACTGAAAAAGAGTTTTCTAGACGTATCCACTTAATACCTTGTTTTATTTTACCTCATCATCATCAGCTTTTTAATGTTCTCACTGATGGAGCACACCTCTTAAAGTGTTAACGACTTACCCGGTAATATATGTATAATAACTTTACCCCTTAATATATGTATAATAATTCTACTATCGCCGGCTTACACTGGCCCTAAAAACCAATGATCGCTGTATTTACAAGAATAGACTAAAAAAACGGAATACGTGTCTCGTGCGACACTCGATATGGTCTACCTCATAAGGGATCTGGTGTGATCATAGAAATATTTGTAAAATAATTTAATTGAAAATAATTTAAACGTGTCATTTTTTTATTTATGACGTAGGTAGGTACAACAAAAACAAATATATCAATAATATGTACTGGAATTCCATTCATATATAATATCTAAAAGCGTTACTTATAATTATCAAGCGTTTCGCACAATTATTTAAATCTTAATTAGTTTAATAGGTATTACGATAAGTCTAATCTCCATAAATCTATACATTTATTTAATATTTTCACATCCATCCTTTATTGAACTTCTTTTGATGCTCGATATTTGATTCTTATTTATATAATGTACCAAGTTATGACAATGACTAGCACCCTACCATGCTATATTATCTAATAATTTCTGCTTACACTTGCACATTTATACATTTTTTTACTAATTAATCTTTACTAATGGAATATCTTATTAACACTTTAAGAAATCAATCACAGACGTTTTTAACGTAAATAAAAGATCGTAGCACTCTCATAAAATGCTATAATATCAGAGTACAGGAGCACTAAATCTCCTGTCTGCGTTGTAAAGATTTAGTGACGTGAGAGACTGCACGGACTTAATTTCTTCAGGGGATAAAGGTCTACCTCTGAACTCATCTTCGATATCCTGGAGGGTCCGGTCTTTCGTCTCTGGGAGGAATATCCCGGCCACGATCAAGCAGTAACCGACGACAATCGCGTATAACAAATATGCTCCAGAAAGACCAATGGTTTTCAAAAGAACAGGCAGAGTTTTTATAGTGATAAACAAATTTGAAGACAGGAACAGCACGCTGATACCTCCAGCTAGACTCCTATATTCCAAGGGGAAGAGTTCCCCAGCTATGATGAAAGGCAGAGGCACCGTTCCTGTTGCTATAGAGAACATGTGGATGTGTATCAACAGTGTTCCTATCAGTGGATGATCGAAAGGCAACATGCCATGAGTTTTACAATAAACATAAGCCCCTATCGTCAGAAATGCGAAAATATTAATCCCAACTGTTGAAAACAACATTGTTCTTCTCCGTATCTTCTTAATCACGTACACTGCGACAGAGTTGGATATAATTCGTTGAGTATCTAAAGCGATGATCATTGCGGCTATATTAGTATCAGTTCCTATGATATTCTCAAAGATATCTTTTGTGTAAGAGGAAATTATGTTAGCCCCTGCCCACTGTCCCAACGTATAAATATGGATCATAATGAAAATTGGTTTGTAAAACTCTTTTTTTCTAATCGTAGAGTTGAAATAAGCAATATTCATATTAACTTTTTTTGTAAAACTTTGGGATACGTTTGCTTCAATTTTCGATTCATTTAAAATGGTGCTCGCTTCTATCATTTCTCTTAGTTCTACTTCTTCGTCATTCCCTCGTAGCCAGCGGAAAACCTCCTTGCTTTCAATATACCTTCCTTGATCAGCCAACCAACTGGGTGATTCTGGAGAGTATATTACAATTATCAAGTCTACAAATGCTATAAAACAACAAATCATCGCTGTCCACTGCCAACTCAAGTATGATCCTAGAGTATGCACTATGAGGACCCCTGTAGCAATCGTCAGGGATATCACAGTTAAGAAGGCACCTCTGTTTTTAGGGCTGGTATATTCTCCGATGAGTACAGGTCCTATAGTAGCACTCATTCCCATAGAGACTCCTTGTAGAAACCTGGCCACGAGAAGTGTGGAAACACTGTTAGCAGTAAGTACGCATATCCACCCGACGATCATGGGTGTTATGCTGACCATATTAGCAGTTCTTCGGCCGTATTTCGCCATAATAGTAGGGGCTATGAAATTGCCGGCAACCAACGCGAAACCCAGGATAGAGGCTGGAAAGATAAATTGCTTAATTTAGTTCAAAACTAGTGATTTTAATAAACAAACTGTGAACTAACTGATATAAATAACTCCTGAATACCTATTAATATCCAGCAAACGTTTCACTACCTAATTCGAAAATGAAATAATTTATACTCCTTATTAAGTGTAAGTTCAAATGACGAATGTGTGTCGAAATAAAATATTTCTAAATAGTATGCCATCAGTTTGTAAATCTGTGGCCAGAGTCTGTACTGAGAAGAACTGACAAAAAACTGCAAAGGCGGATTTTTTTCTGTACTAAGTAGTTAAATGTATAAAAATTAAAGAATGTGTGTGGTTTATTGTTTTTCAAACAAATTAATTAGGTATCTAATACATTTATAATGCCATTAACAGATGGTAGTGTGGGAAAATGATAGCTATTTAACAAATATACCTAATTAGACTCCTAAAAAAATCTTACGAGTAAGTAGATGAGATTTTACATCTTATAACTCCATGTCTTATCTCTCGTGTCACTGTTTGCTTATTAACTTTATCTATGACAGGTTACTCAAAAGCGGGCAGCGTGAAATTTCCGTATACTCTTACCTATCCATGATCCTGAGGAGTCGTCGATAGATATGAGAGAGCCAGGCTGCCGCAGCTGAGGGAGCAGGATGGCTGCAAATCCAATCACCAGGCCATGACCACCGACGTTCAGACATACCCCTGACGTCACGAAACACTGAAAAACATAATACAATAGAGACCACTTATAATTATCATCATATAATTGAGAATGGGTCATGACTTCCACAATACAGAAGCACGACCGTCTTACTCTGTCAATAAAAACAGATAGTATACTATACTTAGTTGAAAATATTGATTCATTGAAAAAATGGAAAAGACTTCTATCGGGGACTAACTCAACGCTTTCTTTGTCTTTGTCGATTTATGTTAGCCGTATACAGGTTTAAACCTACATTATCATCATCGGCTCTTTTAAATCCAAGGGCTCAGGCCTTCGTTATGGATTTTTAAGGAGGATGGGAAATGACTCTACGTGAGCCCAATGCGGAATGGAATGTATAAATGTATTAACGACTGCAAATGCAGCCGACACCAACGGCTTAACGTGCCTTCCAAAGCACGGAGTAGTTCGACATATAATTTATTGGTCACCCATCCTGTGATCGAACCTTGGGAAAGTTGCTTAACAACGGCTATGCATTTGAGTTAGGAAATTGGTCCCTTGGCGTAGAGTCTTGAGCAGGGTTATTTGTGTTTAGAGCCCTTTTTGTTTTTCCTGTGCTTTACAATTTAAGTGTTACAATTAGGTATATAAGCTGTTATATTATGTTGTAAAATAAATAAAAAATACAGCATGTTGCACATACGTCCGTTAAAATTGTCATTAGTTTAATGCCACATTACCCATTCAAATTTAAAACCTTCATGAGAGCTAAAAGTCGTCATTTAACCTTAATGGATGTTTACTTAAACCGATTGTCCGCGACATTTAAAATTGAAGTTAGGTATTTACTAGTTTAATTAATGTGTCACACGAATGGGCGTAAGTGCATAGTTCAAAATGAATTTTATTTAATTTTCACGATCCAACAATTCTTATTTATTTTTAATGAAAAATGGTTACAAAATCCACTTTGTCTCTGGCACTCGAACCCATGAGCTTTGTAAATCCGGTAGAGTGCCAGTTACAAAGTGGTATTTTTAAGCAATTTTCGCTAAGAATATTTCTCAGTATATCATTGTGAATGCAAAAAAGAGCAAATATAATAAATTCTTATTTAATAAAAAAATATATATTGATATGGAAGCCCGCCTGACCAATTTTTAACCAACTTCAAAAAGGAGGTTATCAATTCGAGATGTATGTATGTATTTTAAATTTAAGAAATATTGTTATTATTAGCTCTTATATTTTATATTATATTATTATTATTTGCTCTTTATTATAGATGATATAAAGATATCCACTAAAATTGTGTTATTTTATTCTTATAAAAGTTACTTAACATTTATCAGCGATATAGAATTTATATAACGGCAATAAAATGTTTCGAAGAATATTAAAATTATAATATATTAGTATTATTAAACTTACGTCAAACTGATAGAGAAAATGTTGTTTATTAAAGGTATCTATCGCACAAAACTTTTGAGTTACTTTAGTTTTTTCGAAAATTTTGTTTTTGGCACAGGCCAACCCTATGTATGGAACCAACTCGAAGCGAATAGGTAGAATGGGCCACTGCGCGAGTCCTGTACAAAATGGTGGATGTCAATGATGCAGCCGATGCAGCCGGGACTAACGGTTTAACGTGCTTTCCGAAGCACGGAGGAGCTCTACACAATATTTTTTTTTAGGTATCCCATCCTATGAACGGGCCTTGCGAAAGTTGCTTAACAAATTTATCGCGGATCCACTAACCGCTTCGCGATAATCTCCTAAAGCAAGTGGTTTCGCTTAAGCGTTATTTTTACTGATTACAAGTCCTGAACGAACGGTGCTACTCCAAATGTTTACCTAATATTCGGCCCACTTTTCATTTATTACTTTACCTTACACACGCAGTAATGCTATAAAGATAACCAGATAAACTGTCATCACTTTATGAACAGCTGTCAATAAAAAAATGATACTCGAAGAATTTATTATACGCTATTATTTAAATCTATCGGCCTTGGTGTAAATAAACAAGTTTCTTTATAAAAAAAATATTTTCAATAATAAATGAGTGTGTCTGTGTCAAAATAATAATAAAAAAAATTGAAAAATTATCGACTGATTGTGTGGAAAAAAGTCAATAAAATGAACAACCTGGTGCGGCATCAATTGACTTATGAATCTTCCACAAGGAACCATCTAACAATGAAAAGCGTATTATATCATATGTTGATTGGTTCAGGAGTTTGAAATTTACCAGACTGAGGTAGAAAACTATTTGAATTTACTACAATTTAATGTTTTTCATCAATTTTGCGTTCTGATATATATTTGAAACGAAAAAGCCTTAAAAAATTCACCAGCCCCAAGAGAGAGATGGGACTTTCACAATCCGAGCTACTACTCTAACCATTGAACTACCTGAGACCCAACAGGACTAAGGAATTTTTCCAGTACTTTTTACATTCCGCTACTAGCAAGCTTACTTTATCAATGTTTTTTGGTTTTTAAACCTTTTTCATTAAAGATATCTAATTGACTAACAATATATTAAAAAACCCTGTCCGGCCCAATACGGCACCCAATCAAATGATCAGAATATAATATGAAGGATAGGAAAATCATTGCTAATATTAGAAACATATTTTATGTTTCTAAAAGAAAAATTCGTGATAAACAAAATTTCCCTTTTACGCAGCAATTTTTTAGAAATATCACAAGACAACACTGTTATTTTGTTTTAACCCGCCCATGCCTTTTTTCTTTTGTTTGATAAAAAATGGTATGCATTAATAGAAAGACCAGTCCTTGAGAAAATTGCGCTAAGCACTGCATCATCTATAAGTTAATTATTAATTCAGACTTAGACTTATCCATACCTACACAAATTTCGTAAAATTTCAGTAGTTTTTGTTTGAAAGAGTAACAAATACATACGTACAAAACATACTTACAAACGATTATTAGTATTTTGTCTACAAACTATGTAACTAGTTATGTTTATTTTAAAAGCTTTCAAAAGCATTATCTGAAAATTTGAAGAAATTTAAATAGGTTAGTAAACCTCATCATTCGGTAAATCTAAGCTTTCGTTATTCTGAAATAGATGCCAAAATTTAAAATATTGAAGTACTGGTGATATTCTATTTGAGTCAATTTTTTATATTCTTAGCATATTAAAAATTTTTATAATTTAAAAAAGTAAATCTACCGAATACTTATGTTCTACAATTTTATTTCATTTTCTTTTATTTTTGCTCATATCTCGAGTAGGTACTATTACTTCCAAAAATAATTATAATAATTCATTTAAATGACATAAATTAATTTGTCCTATAGTACGCATAAATAGTAAAACACTTAAAAATAATTGAACCGATTTTAAATTTAAAAAAGTGAAAAATAATACTTATCTTAAAAGCGGTAAATTTTTTTAAAAAGCATTGTAGTCGGGCTGATGTTTTCTGTAGTTATTTATATATTATCCCTCAACTTCAATGTTTCTTAAAATATTTAATCGATTTTAAGATAAATATTATTTTCCACTTTGTCAAATTTGAATTCGGTTACATTTTTTTTTTCAAGTTTATATTTCATGCATTTTAGTGATATTTTGTGTTTTGGGGTAACAAACATCACGCATACTTAATGCATATTTAAGACTTATATGGTTTTCTCATAGATGCCATTGTCATAAAATGGGACCACACGGTATGCACTAGCTTTCAAATAAAGAAAGAATCTCCAAAATCGGTCCACCCAGTAAAAAGTTATGTGGTAGCAAACAGAAAAAAACTGTCGAATTGAGAACCTCCTCCTTTTTTTTGAAGTAGATTAAAAATTAAATGAGTTGATGAGTTGAAAAATTAATAAAAAGTAGCTCACAAAATACTTTAATACAGATAAATCTGAGACTTTTTCCTGAAAAGTTACATTAGTTAAGTAGTATTTAGAATATTTACCTGTTTCTTGAAAGGCGTAATCCATGTACTCCTCTTTCCCATTTCAAATGCGGTGCGAACTTATATGCACATTATATTAAAAATATACACAGAAATGCGAATAGGTAACAAATTGATTGTAGTCGTATACGAGTACCGTCTGTAGAAGAACTAACTGTAACTTAATAGCGATAATCTAGAGCTGAAATCCTTAGGTGACTACCTCAAGCTCCGTATCAAAACACTCGAAATATACGCGTGCGCATTACACTCAATGAGAAGTTAAGGCGCTGATATACGATGTTCGTGAGTTCCTAATCAAACGTTACGCCTAGCTTGTCGGTGCATCGTACCACTCCGTTTATTATGTCCTAGGTTTCCGCATCCAAACTTTTTGTTTTTAATCTTTAACATTTTTTTTTTTATTATTTACCTTTCGTAATTTGAAATTTTGAGAAACGCGATATGTTCTTTCTGATAATCAGTTCGTGAAAATTCTTCTACCATTCTAACAGTACCTATGTAGTAGGTACATAAGATTATTTGTGAATAGGTATTACAAATTAAAGCCAACAATACCACACCTACATAACATGAGAGTGTAATGATAAAATATTAAAATTATCTGTTTAAAATTAATTCTTTAAAGCGAATATATTTTAAAAACACGTTGAATGTATTTATAAGTGCTACATAAAAAAGAAAATCTAGAAACGGGGTATGTAATTGTTTTATAAGTATTTTTATTAAAATATACATCAGCCGTTTCATTTACTACCAACACCGAAGCCCCAAAACGTCACACCTTTAGTATTGTCGAGATTCCCACGTATGACACGCGAATTACACGCGAGTGAAATCTCTCGCACGTATTATGTGAACGAAATTCTATGGAACTCTTCTACTATCCGACAAACGACAGACTTAACAGGCAGGAATATTTGTGAACTTCCAAAAAAGGAAAGAAGAAGGCTTGTTAAAAGGAAAACTTACTAAACCGCCTCCGATCTTCATTTTTGGATCCCGAAAGGACAGCTCCGCATCCAGCCTCGAAGATCAGTTAAGGCCTTAGATTAAATAATATTGTTCGAAAGACTTCTTCACCGGAAACGAGCAAAAAAATAACTTTCGTTTTATGAAAGCCCCCTTAAATATTTATATTATTCTGGTTTTTAATATTTGTTGTTGAAGCGGCAACAGAAATAAATCACCTGTGAAAATTTTAACTGTCTTACTTTAACGGTTCAGGAGATACAGCCTGGTGACAAACAGATAGACATATAAACAGCGAAGTCTTGTAATCACTTTCCCGTTTTACCCTTTGGGTATGGAATCCTAAAAACTGGTCTTGGAAACACTTTGAAAAATATGAATGAAAACACTCACCAACCCTGCTTCTTAGGCGCTGCTGTCGTATATTTTCAATCTGCAACAACAGTCGTCTTCTAGAACAATTTGTTGTCAAAACTTTCATGGTCGTAAACATTAGAATAATTGTTAATCACGCACGGGAATACTACCATCCACCCGCAAGACTTTAGTTGCTGCTGTGATGATGCCGCTTGCAACAGTCCCGAAATATTTATATTGAATGAGATTGACTAGCAGAAAATGCCCTAAGCAGTATTAATTTAATTAATAACTCGATAAAAATAAACATTTTTCTTATTCTAGGATATTTTTTGCGAAATAATAGGACCCTTTGAAAAATGAGGTAATCATATTTTCCTCTTAATTTCTCCCCTTTCTATTTTTGTCAGCAAATCTTCTACTTGATTTCAATATATAGTATATATTGTTGTGTATTAACTTTTTGATTCAATAAAATAAACGACTGTTAACTCCAACGACAGAACAGTCAAGTCGTATTGAAATTCCTCTGAAATATATGATATAAAAAGTATATTTCGTTTATTAACCTTGAATATGAATGTAACTGAAAATGTTATATGCAAATAATATAAATAAAATTCATGTTAGAGCAGGGGTACCCAAACTTATTAAGTCTCCTGCTCACTTTGAGAATAAATATTTTTTAGCGCCTTCATTTTTCTACTACTATAATTTCAAATTTAATTTATTATTGTAAGATATATTAGAGGAGACTTTTACTATAACCCGCAAAAGTTAACTTAAGTGCAGTAGTAGTTACAAGTTTCAAATTAACTCTACCTGAACCTCTACACAACGGCCCATTTTTTTGAGTCTATTATCGCTCCCATTTAGGCCTGCAGCGCCCACAAGGGGGCGTTATCATCCACTTTGGGAAAGCTGTGTTAGAGGAAACCTTATCAATATTGTATTAATGAGAAAAACAATTGATTGATATGACGAACTAAGCAAGATTACATTTAGAATACTTATAAAAGCTCATCACGTAATAATGATTCATTCAAGACCTTCAACCTGTGATGTAAATAGCGCTAAAGAGACTTTAAGACTAAATACCTGCGTAAATTATATAAGAGGAATCTTCCATATTGTCTCGGGTCTGGGTGTTGTGGTATCTTCGTCGTCTTAGTTGCTCAATAACACTGGGGCTTTATCTACTCATCTTGGAATATAAGCAATGTATGTCATGTTTTTGATGAATTTATTTTATTTATAATCGTTTTTATAAAAGGAGTATGAAATAAAGAATATTTAAATAAATTAAAAATATTCAATAAACATGTCGTTAAGCAACTTTCGCAAGGGTCGGTCACGGGATGGGTGACCAAAATATTATCTCGAGCTACTCCGTGCTTCGGAAGGCACGTTAAGTCCAATCCGCATTGGGCCAGCGTGGAGGGTCATGGCCCATCCTCCTTAACCATCCATAAGGAAGGCCTGAGCCCCTGCAGTGATAAGATAAGATAAGATAAGATCTTTATTTGCCAGAACACAAGTCATTGAGGTCACAAATAATCAGACAAGTACAGTATTCTGCCTGCGGACAGGCGTGCAAATATTGTTATTATATTATTAACTTATTACATTTTTTATTATCATATTATATATCAAACATCTCATAAAATTACAAATTATTATTATATATTATCATTATGTCATGGATTTTTTTTTAAAGCTAAAAAGTCTTTAACGCTATAAAAGCAGTGTTCTAGAAGCCACTTTGTCAGTTTTAGTTTAAATTGATTCATGTTTAACAGTTTCATGTCATCTGGCAAATTGTTATATAAAATTATGCACATATTGTAAATATTGTTTTTATAGATGTTTTTAAGACAAGGAGGCTGATACAACAGGTTTCTATATTTTCGTCTTGTTTGTCTCGGAATAATGTCCACACGTTTACTCCAGTAATTGGAATGAGAGTGAACAAATACACAGATATCTTTTATGTACATACAAGGTAGAGGCAAAATATTAAGCTTTTTGAAAAGTGGCTTACAGCTATCATCGAACCAAGCATTACACATAACACGAACACACTTCTTTTGAATTTTAAAAACTCTGTTTAGATCAGTGGGGACGTAAAAGGGCTGATGATGATGATGATGATTCAATAAACTTCGAATAAAGTCAGGCGAAATTTTATAAGTTGTAAGTTGATTGTTAAGTACCTACCTAATTAATATTTATTAAATACAAGTTTCTTTAATTGTCATTCACTTTTATTACACTTTTTCGAAGTTAGTTTTATTTAATTCGCCTTTTCCGTATGTTGGTCCCTTCTACGTCTGTAATCGTTAACGGCTTTCAATCCGTACTGAGCCCTCGAAACGAGTTATGTTCCTGTGCCATTCTGTACATGAGGAAGGACTGTGGTCTAACAGTGGTGACATGATGATGCACTGGCAAGTCCGTTAGCAAAATTATGTGTTTGTGATACAAAAACATACTTTCCTATTCACTTATTATTTACACAACATCTTACGGGTAATAGAAACTCGTGACCCGCTGGCTGTATACACAGATTATTTAAACTACACAACGAATTTAAATACGGTTTTTATCAATATACAGATCGATCCGAGAGGAAGCTTTATGTATAATGCAGGACCACCAACTTATAATTATAAGTTGCAGTATCTTTATGATTAGTTATTTGTTGTTGTAGTTTTATTAAAAAAAAAATCGCGTTTGTCTGTTTTCCCAAAGGTTGACTGGGAGAGAATGCTATAAGCATTAAGTCTCCCTTTGTACCATCTTTATATTGGTCAATAAAGTTTAATAAATAAATAAGGAATTTTGGCGTTCACAACGTTTTCATGGAAACAAGCGCTCTATTTTTCTGGGTTTAATATGTTTTTAATTTGCTATCATCAATTATTATTCTACATAAATAGAAAAAAGATTCAGCAACCATTGACACATAATTCGTAGGGCTGCTAACAAAGACATATGCAGAGAATGACTTTTAAACATATTTTTTCTTTATGTAAAATATAACCATACTATCTACATTGAAACAAATAATGTGATACGATAGAAGATTGATTCATAAGTGGCTATTGCAAATTAGATTTCGTTTTAATCTTGATTAATCATAAAAAATGTTAAAACTTTGAGTTATTTTAAAAAACATATAATAAACCAATTGTAAATAATACCCACCAGTCCTCACTAGAATTGCGTGGGTCATTCCTAATTAGAACTGCGTGGGTCATTCCTCTGTTCGATAAGATTTGATTCCATCCATAAGTAACACTTCCACCTCAGCAGTAGAGACATTCATAGTTCGGTGATAATGACAAAAAGAAAGGCTTCCTCATGGGAAACTTTATTTAAAGTGCTGATGATGATAATATAGAGGTACATGTACCAATGTATATCACAATAGCAGTGTATATTTTTCATGTGATAATTTTTTTAAGTATTTTTATAGTAAGATCGGCAACCCTAGCTTCTCACACGTGCTTGAATGAACTCACGGTCAAAAGTTCTTTGGCAACCGACAGTGCACCATCGATGTCTTTATATTACATTTAGACACAATACACTAACATTTGCAACTGCTCTATTTTAGTGTTAAAATAAAGCTATAAATAAGTACACAGAAAAAGATCAAATCAAAATAGGATCTATATTATGAAAAAGAAATTGATAATCTATCGAACTAGTAACTGTAAAGAAATTGATAATCTATTGAGCTGTATTATTGTGAAAATTCTTTCAGTGTCCGTGTAATGTTGTAATCTAGCTATTCTACTATAAG